CATCCCTGCCCCATAGGTTGATGGGCAAATCAACCACAAAAGGCTGAAAAGTCCCTCTCTGATCTTCTGTTCTCCAGACTAACTCCTTAGCACTTATATGCGGTGTTTGTGCATACCCCAGCCCTTGAAGGGACTGGGAGGCCTGTTGTAAGGGCCAGCGTTTTGGCCATGCTTGGGATCTGATGATACTTTTATCTGCTCCAGTATCCACCAGGCCTGAAAAAATCTTTCCTTCTATTTCTAAATTTAAGATTGGTCGCTGATCAAGCTCCAAGGATAAACAAGCCAAATCTACTCCCATGGGAGCAAGGCTTTTGTCCTTTAAGACAAGCCCTTCAGCTGGAAGCTTATTACGCCCTGAAGGCAGAACTAAGAGTTGAGCTATTCTGTCTCCTGGGGCGATGGAAACTACCCCGTATGGAGAATGGCAAAGAATTTTAATGCAGCCTTCATAGGCAGGGTCTATGACTCCAGGATGGACTATCAGGCCTTTCATGATTGAGGATGAATGTCCCAAGACTATGCCAACAGTATCTTTTTCTAATGGCCCAGACACATCTGTTTCTATGACCTGAACTCCCATATCCTGAGTTAATAGCAGTTCGGAGGTGGCACAGAGGTCCAGCCCTCCGGAGCCTTTGGCTGCCCTTCTTGTTGGGACGATGGAGTCATCTCGGGGACTGCCATCGTGTTCTGAATTGCCCCAAATATTTTTGGGCCCTGGGTGCATGGGCCCCTCAATCCATTTTTTGACAATGACTGAACAGGCATAGGAATAAGTTGTCCATTTATATCCCTAACTGATCTGTACTCATTAGCCCAATGTTTCCCTTTCTTGCATCTGGGACAAGTGTCTGGCTGCCTCTGCGATGTTGCAGCTGAGAGCCCTGAAGAATCTGAGGCATTATGACTATTGGGACATTGTTTTTTGAAATGCCCCAACTGTCCACATTTAAAGCATGCCTTTCCCTTATCTCCTCTGACACCTCTGGCAGCAGCAAGCACAGCAGCCGCCAGCCCTGCATTGGTTAGAGGCCCCCCAACTTCACGACAGGCTTTGATCCAGGCTTCTAATCCCTTTCCCTTTACTGGACCTATTGCTCTTTGACATTCCTTGGTGCTCTGCTCAAATATTATTTGCTGGACAAAAGGCAATGAAATATCTAAATTCCCAAACATTCTTTCAGCTGCCTCTGTCATTCTAGCCACATAATCAGAGAATGGTTCTGCAGCACCTTGAATAATCTTGCTTAAGTTACCAGCTGTTTCACCTTTATTAGGGAGTGATTTCCATGCTCTATAATGAATCTCACTAACCTGCCTATAAACCTCCCAAGGATAATGATTCTGATTTCCAGCAAATGCCCCCTGTCCAAGAAGCATATCAGCCGTCCACTCTGGGTGGCCGCCTTGTATGTTAATGCGCTCTTGGATCTAAGCCTTGTCCTGGACTATAGATTTAAAATCCAGGAACTGCCCTGCTGGAAGAGCTGCTCTTGCAATCTCCTGCCAGTCTGTAGGAGTCAGCGCTACTGTAACAATCCTTCTCAATAATGCGATTGTATAACTGGCATTTGCTCCATAATTTCTCGCAGCTTCAACCAAGTCCTTCAGCTGTCTGTATGGGATTGGTTCATACCACCTATTATAATTCTGTGGCTCCTCAAAAACAGGAAAGGCAGCAGCCAGTTGCGACCAAGTTTGCCTTCCTATGAAGCTGTGGCCTTCTGTAGCTACCTGCTGGTACATGGGTGGAGGGGCGGATGGGGGAGGGGCAGAAGGTACTGGCGCCTCGTCTCTTCTGCCCTTTGTAGTAAACACATCAACATCGCCCCGCCTTCGGCTACCTTGCTGCTCTTTCTCAGATTTAGCAGCCGCTTCCTCTAGTTGTTCTTCCTCCTCTGATAAATCTAAATCTACAAATTCTTTCACTACTAAAGCTATGGGGCTTCTCTTCCCCTTTTCTCCTTTTTTTATTTCCGGATCCTTATCTTTTAATTTTTCCTTTTTCTTTCTAGGCCTACACTCTTGTTCCTCCTTCTGATCTGATTCTGAAAAGCTGTCCTGATGTTTCTGTAATGCCTTGTGACCCTGTTTTAATATCTCTATATTACGTTCTTCCTTCAAGCAGTCCCGCACCATCCTCCAAAAAGGAAGTGTGCCTCTCCCAATATTTCCTTCTGCTTATTCCAAATCCCTGCCTAGCTTATTCCAAGATGGCAAAGTTAGGTCACCTGAAGCTGCAAACCAAGGTGAGACATCAACAATGTCTTTTACGATGTTAGCGACAGTGCTAGAAGAGATCTTTAAATCACGCTGTCACAAAAATGCCTGGATTGAGCGATAAATCTCCCTGGGGTTCGAGCTGGCTCCATAAGAATTGCCCATGATGTGCACTTACCCCCTGGGCTAAAGAAAAAAACCTCCTTTTTACTTACAAGGAAGTCCTTTTAGAAAAATGCCGCTTGATCTACTGCGGACTTAGTTTTACTTTTGACTAGAACTGCAGTCTCAGCAGCAAAGGCACTCACCACCTGGTTAATCACAGCGCAACCCAAGGCAACAGAGAAGAACAAATGCAAACATTACCACTCTGGACCAGCCTTAGCAATCAGCATACATCTGGAGGATTTCCTGACGTCAGTCACCGCTCTTTGCGTTGAGTTCTGAATTCTGCTCCCTCCTTGGCTTGTTCAAATCCGGCGTCCCGGTTTTCAGCACCAAAATGTGACGCGCTTCCTGACCAGCAGGAATGGACGATCACAAAATCAAGAATCCTTCTCAATCACAATTTATTAGAGCTCCTTGATTGAAAGGGGGAATGGGGAACAGGGATGACGAGAGAGAGCGAAAAATCCAAAGACAGCCGCTTTTCTAGGGTGAGAGGCTCGAACGCTGATTGGTTGATGCCATTCTGCTAGGACCCAAGGCCACAGGGCAGGTCAGGAGACCGAGTCTATTGAAATGCAAAACAAGGTTCCGAGCAAACCGGCCTAAGGCGGCAACATCAAAGGATATGTATACCTCCAGGTTGTAGGACTGCTGGCACTATCTGGCCAAGGCCACATCCTGGTGGCTCCCTACAAGAGAGAAAGGTTGAGTAACATACCAGGGTTAGACAGGGTCAGGGAGAACCCTATAATGACTTCTTGCAAAGATAAATTAAGACTCTGAACACAGGAGTAACAGACCCAGAAGCTAGATGACTATTTCTTAAATCACTGGCCTTTGATAATGCAAAATTAGACTACAAAAAGATACTTGGGCTTTTTTTAAAATCAATTTATTTATTTATTTATTTATTTATTTATTTATAAAAAGATAATTGGGCTTTTAAGGTCTAGATCAGCACCTATGTATGAATGGATCCAGCATACCATGAATTTTCAGACCTTTAATTACGATGATGAATCTTGAGTAGGAGAAGTGATTTCCAAAGCAATGAGGGGACATCAACCTGCCAAATGTTTTACTTTTGGTAAATTAGGACACCTAAGAAGAAATTGCAGGCATGGAATTTCTAGGAATAACTCTTCATCTGGGAATGGCAGGAATAAGAAACCTCGGCCTTCAGATATATGCAGGAGGTGTGGTAAAGGATTTCATAGGACCAATGAATGCAGATCAACAACAGACAGACAAGGCAACCTGAAATCATTGGGAAACTCCTTGAGGGGCCTCTCACAGGCCCCCAAGCCCAAAGAGGTCCAGTCTTTCCTAGTAACCATGAAGGACATGTCGCACCAGGAAATTTAAAAAATCTAGAAGCTTCTGTACAAGATCATAAGGTTCTAAATTATGGCTCAAATTTAGAGGGTAAGTCAGAAATTCAAATAGGGAATAAGAAATATATATTTTGTTAAACTTCTATAAATGATCAGAGACCAAAGCTGAGAGTATGTATACATGAAATTGTGATTGTTGACTTGATAGACACAGGAGCAGATGTGAGTATCATCACTCCAGAATCTTGGCATCAAATTGGCCTCTTCAAGAGGCAGATGTTCAATTACTAGGAATTGGAATCATATCTCAAGTTAAACAAAGCACAAGACAACTGTATTGGACCAGAGGTCAAAGGGGAAAGCTAAGGCCATATGTAGCTGATATTGCAATAAATTTATGCAGCCATGACCTGCTACAGCAATGGAATACTCAGATTAACATTCCTGCAGTCCCAGGAACTCATAATTCTGGGAAGTATATAGTAAGGTATGTACGAAAGTCACCAGCCATTCAGGCTGTACAAGAACATAAAGCAACTAAAAAAACCTTTAGAGGTACCAACAGGCCTACCTTTAAAATGGCTAACTGAGAAGCCAATATGGATTAAGCAATGGCCTCTAGCTGAAGATAAATTGCAGGCTTTGGAACAATTGGTACAGAAACAATTAGACGCTCAACATATTGAGGAGTCAACTAGCCCTTGGAATTCTCTTGTGTTTGCTGTAAAAAAAGAAATCTGGCAGAATGTTGACAGATATAAGGGCTGTCAACAAGGGAATACAACCTATGGGCCCTCTACAGTCGGGGATTCCTCTGCCTTCTCTTTTGCCAAAAGGATGGCTTCTTATAGTTATTGACTTGAAGGATTGCTTCTTCACTATACATTTACAAGAAAAAGATAGAGAAAAATTTGCCTTCACAGTGGCTACTTATAATAACTCTCAGCCTACTAGGAGATACCAGTGGACTATCTTCCCACAGGGAATGCACAACAGCCCCAGCATGTGTCAATACTTTGTTAGTCAGCCATTGGAAATGATATGTAAGCAATTCCCTAAGTCTATAATTTTCCATTACATGGTTGACATTTTGCTATCCGATTCAAACATAGATACTTTAGAAAGAATGTTTGAGATCTGGCCGGTGGCGCGGGCGGGGGAGTGGTGGAGCAAGCGCAGCGGGCCAGGGTGGCCCATCAGGCACAGGGAGCACGCGTGGCTGGTGCGCCACCCCCCCCCCCCCCGTGGACACGTGCGCTGCCCCCGGACCCGGTCGGAGCATGGCCCGGTTGGCCTGCACATTGAGCCAGCACATCCACACAAGTTGCCTTTTGACAGAGCTGTGGCCATAGCCGCATAGTAGGACCAGCACCCCGGACCCTGAGGCCAGAATGAGTGAAGAAGCATGTTGAACCTGCAGTCAGAAGCGAGCCCTTGACCCTGACCTAACGGAGGATGATGTGGAGAGCAAGAAAATGAAAATGGAGAGAGCACCATCAGAGCTGACTGTGGACGGAGACACCAGGGTGATGCCTGAGCCAGGTGTAGGCCCGGCCCAGGGGTTGCTGAGGACAACAGAGACCACAGCCACAGGATCAGGCGAAGGGCTGGTAGGAGATGGGCCTGTGGACATGCGCACCTCACACAGTGACATTAAGTCTGAGAAGAGACCTCCCTCCTGATGTGATCGTGCTCTCTGACAGTGAGCAGCCATCAAGCCCAAGGGTGAATGGGTTGACCACAGCATCCTTGAAGGATACCAGCACTGAGGCGCTCCTGAAAAGCAGCCCAGAAGACCGAGAGGGGATGATCAAGCAGCTGAAGGAGGACTTGAGGCTGGAGGAAGCAAAGCTGGTTCTGTTGAAGAAGCTACGTCAGAGTCAAATACAAAAGGAAGCCATAGCGCAGAAGCCTGCAGCTTCCTCAGGGAGCTCCGTGACCACCCCTTCCCCACTCGTCCGGGGTACTCAGAACATTCCTGCTGGCAAGACATCACTTCAGACCTCTTCTGCTCGAATGCCCGGCAGCAGCATCCCACCGCCACTGGTCCGGGGTGGGCAACAGGTGTCTGCCAAGCTGGGACCACAGGCCAGTTCCCAAGTAGTCATGCCACCACTTGTCAGGGGGGCCCAGATTCACAACGTCAGACAGCACCCCTCCACAGGGCCACCACCCCTCCTCCTAGCCCCCCGCGCCTCAGTGCCCAGCATGCAGATTCAGGGACAGAGGATCATCCAGCAGGGACTTATCCGTGTTGCCAATGTCTCTAATACCAGTCTGCTTGTCAACATCCCTCAGCCCAGTGCAGCCTCACTGAAGGGGACAACGGTTGCCTCTGCTCAGGTCAGCTCCACCCCAAGCAGTGTGGCCTCTGTGGTTGCATCTGTGGAGTTTCCAGCCAGCCGACAGGCTGCTGCCAAGCTAGCACTAAGCAAGCAGCTGGAGAAGACCCTGCTTGAGATTCCACCTCCCAAGCCCCCTGCTCCAGAAATGAACTTCCTGCCCAGCGCTGCCAACAACGATTTCATCTACCTGGTTGGTCTGGAGGAGGTGGTGCAGAATTTGCTGGAGACGCAAGCGGGAAGGATCTCTGCCAGCACAGCTTCTGCTATGTTATCCCGGGAGCCCTACATGTGTGTTCAGTGCAAGACGGACTTCACATGCCGCTGGCGGGAGAAGGGTGGAGCCGTTATGTGTGAGACTTGCATGACATCCAACCAAAAAAAGGCACTCAAGGTGGAGCACACCAGTCGGCTGAAGGCTGCCTTCGTGAAGGCACTGCAGCAAGAACAGGAAATGGAGGAGCGGCTGCTGCAGCAGGGTGTGGGTACTGCCAGCACCAAGGCTGAGGCTGCAGCCCCACATCCCACTCTGAAGCAGGTCATAAAGCCCCGACGTAAATTGGCGCTCCACTCAGGAGAGGCCCGTGACTGGAGTAACGGGGCTGTGCTACAGGCTTCCAGCCAACTGTCCCGGGGCTCAGCCACAACACCTCGTGGTGTTCTGCACACATTCAGCCAGTGACCCAAACTGCAAAATGCGGCCTCAGCTACGGCCCTGGTAAGCGGGACTGGCAGACATTCCTAGAGAGCTGTGGGCACCAGCAAGGGCACCACCTCCAACTGGAAAAAGACACCCCTGAGCACAGGTGGGACCCTTGCCTTTGTCAGCCTGAGTTTGGCAATGCACAAGACCTCTTCAGCTGTAGACCGTTGGCGAGAATACCTCCTGGACATGATCCCTCCACACTCCATTCCCCAATCAGCCACATGGAAATAATGGGAGGCCAGCCCAGCTGAGGACAGGCCCTCGGCTCTCCATGGCTCCTGGTCTAGGACACACAGACTGCCCTCCTAACAAGTTGCCTGAGACAGCTCAGGCCTTGGCTATTTAGCCTTGTGGTGGCCACTATGGTGTGCTTGCTGCGGCCCCTGGCTTCCACACTTAGAACAAATCACAGCCCAGACTTTCCCAGAGACTCTGAGGTTCCAGAGGGATGCTGGACCCACCGCTGGAACCAGAGCTGGCTGCTGGGTTATTTTTGTGCTTTATTTTATTAAAATTTCTTTCCTTTCACTCTTCATTTTGAAGGGCACAATCTCAGGGTGCCCAATAGGCACCCAGGTAGGCGCAAACAGACCTGTCTACCCTGGGGTCAGCCGGGTGGGTTCACCTCTGTCTCCTCAGTCCACAGGGATGTCTTTGAAAGGCCAGGTCTACTTTAGTTTTATTTTCTTTCCTCTCCCACCCCCTACTCTTTAAAAATTGGTTTCATGGTGAAAGGGCAGAAGCAGCTCACACAGGGCGGCCTGCAGCAATCTACAGTGATTGGTTGCTGTCGAATCCCGAGCAGCCCTGGCTTCCTTCAACACAGTAGTTAGGGACTTTAATTTAAACCCTTGTTCTGCAGACCACCAACCCTCTGCAGACACGCCCCTGCCTCCTCCTAATAAAGGCTCATTTAACCACAAAAAAAAAAGAAAGAATGTTTGAGGAAGTAAGATAGTTTTGCCTAAATGGGGATTACAAATTGCTCCTGAAAAGATTCAAAGAGGAGATTCTGTTAATTACCTAGGTTACAGAATAGGATTACAGAAAATTAGAACACAAAAGGCACAAATTAGAGGAGACCAGTTACGGACTCTTAATGACTTTCAAAGATTGTTAGGAGACATTTCCAGTCTATGACTGGCTGATGGGATAACACCTGATCTAATAATTCATTTAAATAAAACCTTAGATGGTAACAAAGATTTGAATAGTCCCAGAGAATTAACAGCTGAAGCAGAAAAGGAACTGATGATGGTTGAGGAAAAATTACAGGAGACACATGTGGATAGGTTGGATCCAAATCTTAGTTGTATTCTAGTCATATTGCCTTCCAGAATTTCTCCTGCAGGAATTTTAATGCGGTGGGAAGATGCTAATTTAGAATGGATCTTTTTACCACACAAACCAAGTAAAAAATTAAAAACTTATGTAGAAAAGGTCTCTGAACTAACTGGCAGGTACAGACCCAGCAGAAATTATAGTGTTTTTCACTTCTGATGAAATTAAAAAGGTATGGGAAGACAATGAACCATGGCTGTGGAGGGCCGCGACCACATTCTCCATTGCTTCAAGGAACAAAAGTAGAGATTGACCTCTGTGACCCCAAGGTGTGGCGGTACACGCCTTTAATCCCAATGCCTGGGAGGCAGAGACAGATCTCTGTGAGTTCAAGGTGATGTAGCACATGCCTTTAATCCCAGCGCATGTGCTTGTTTACTCTCTCCCGCTGCGTCCCTGCCTACTCCCGAGGCATCATCTGGGTTAATGGGCAGCGGACCAATCCAAGAGTGACACGTCAGAAGCGAGGACTGTTTCCTTTATAAGGGCTGGGTTCCCCTCATTCTGGGTCTTCGCCATGTTGGCTGATGCTCGCTCTCCCAAGGGGCATTAAAGCTTTACTGCAGAAGGATCCTAAGTGCCCCGCGTCGTTCTTGCTGGCGAGACGGTAGCGTGGGACAACTGGTGCTCGAAACCCCAGGACGCCGGGGGACCCTGACAACTACTCGCACCGCCGGAGACCCCTTGGACACAAGGAGGATTCAGAACTGCAGGCATGCATGCTCAGAGAGGTACGCTCTAAAGTCCAGAGAGCATATCAGAAACTGAGCAGCAGTGGGAGGTTGTGCGCGCACACAGATAAGTTAAAAATGACCCTCCGGTAAAGAATAGGGGAGACAGAAAAGAAAATAAGTTAAAAAGGACCCCCCAGTGATTCTAAGAAAGTAAAAATGGGGGAGAAGGCTGATTTACAAGGTCAAAAGCTTTATGTTATGTTATGTGTGTTGTCTTTTGTGTACTGGATAGGAGAAAGATATTTAAATTTAGAAACTGCTAAGGATATGCTGTTTTGGAAAAGAGGTTCTGTTTTCATCTCCACAGAAAAGGAGAGCCTAAGGGTGTACTTGGGATTTATGTGGTTTGAATCACCGAGACCTCCTGAAATGTTGTAGTGTTTACCCCTAAAATGCAGCGTCCCAATACAGCAGGAAGCAGCCAGAGAGACTAACGGCGCCCAAATTCCCTAAAAGATTAAATGAGGTCCTTTCAATGATTGCAGAGCAGCAAGCCTGCTTCTCTGAATTCCGCTTTGCTCCGTACACCGATTTGGGCTCGGAATGGGTGCAGCTATGGCTGGAGGGCGGCTGGAGCGGAGCTTTGCTCGGTGGCTATGGTGGGGGGCTCGTTGCACCAGCTCAGTTGGTGCCTGGCCTGGAGGATGTCACAGCAGTACCGAGAATGAGAGCGGTGCCACAAGCAGCCAGGCATGCAGAAGGCTTGCAATGTACCTAAAACTGTGAGGGTCTCTGAGGCTTAAATGGCTCTGGTTCCATTTGGCTACGCTAAACTATGCTGACTTCAGGCAGGGCTGGTCGTAATTATCATAATAAAAGCGCAATTAAGGTTTAGAGGCAATAAACAGGCAGTACCGTATTACATCTACATAGTGCGACTTAAGTTTTTAAGAACTGCTTAGCATTTTAAGAACTCAAGTCCTCCTGAAAGATTGCTGTATATACGCTTGGCTTGTCTGGTGTTTTGGGTTCTGCAGGGAGATGGATGTGAAGGGCCCTTGGATTTTGGGATGATTGGGTCGTTGGCTGGATCTGTGAGAGTTTACAGCCGCTTTTGCTATGGCACAGGTGTTGAGAGTTTGCTAGTAAGGAAGCGGCCCTGTTCGCCGCCTCTCCCATGGGCCCCTTGAGCCACAGCAGATCTGGCGCAGACCTTGAGATATTGCCGGCCTCGGTCTGGGTGTCGGCTCCCACCACACTCCCCCACCAACACAGCCCACAGCCGCGGAAGACTGGGCTGGCCCCGCGGGGAAGGCGGGGGCGCCTGGGGGTGGAGCCGCCACTTCCTAGCCTAGGACACGTGGAGCCGTGCAGCGAGCAGGCCCAGGGCCGCGCACAGCCCTTGGATGGCGGGCGGGCTCTGGAACCCAAGGCCACTATACCGGCAAGGAATACGAGAGCCTATGTTGTCGGTTCTAAAACATACATAAAGAACTTTTCTGCCACCTCGCCCCAGGTGGTGGAATGCATGGTGGTTTTAGAGGTTCTTCAAAGATTTCCTTGTCCCCTTAATATTGTTTCTGATTCTGCCTATGTGGTTAACGCTGTTAAATTATTAGAAGCCGCTGGAATTATAAAACCTACTAGTACAGTGGCAGTTCTCTTCCAGAGGATACAGGAGTGCTTACTAAGTAGGAGAGCTCCATTTTTTATCACTCACATAAGGACACATTCGGGGCTTCCAGGCCCAATGAGTCTGGGCAATGACCTGGCTGATTGTGCTACTCAGCTTGCTGCGGTAGCTCTTGCCTCCCCGTTGCAGACCGCTAAAACTTTTCATGATAAGTTTCATGTTACAGCTGAAACCCTGCGCAAACGTTTTTCACTTACCAGAAAAGAGGCTTGCGACATTGTAACCCAATGTCACAGCTGTTGCCAGTTTCTTCCTATCAGACACACTGGCGTGAACCCCAGAGGGATTACGCCCTTGCAAATATGGCAGATGGACGTAACTCATATCACTGCCTTTGGAAAACTTCAGTATGTGCATGTGTCAATTGACACATGCTCTGGCATTATTCATGCCATGCCACTTACAGGAGAAAAAACCTCTTATGTCATTCAACATTGCCTTGAGACATGGAATGCTTGGGGCAAGCCCACATCTTTAAAAACAGATAATGGGCCTGCCTATACTTCTCAAAAGTTTAAACAATTCTGTGCACAGATGCAGGTCACCCACATTACAGGCCTGCCTTATAACCCCCAGGGACAAGGTATCATAGAGTGGGCGCATCGCACACTCAAATCTTATCTACTTAAACAGAAAGGGGGAATATTGACAGAGCTGCCCACGACGCCAAGGGTGGCCATCGCCATGGCTCTGTTCACCATAAATTTTTTAAATCTGGATGATAATGGCCAAAATGCTGCAACACAACATTGTTCGGATCCGCAGCGGCCCAAAGACTTGATGAAGTGAAAAGACATGCTTTCTAATGAATGGAAAGGCCCGGATCCCATTTTATTGAGATCCAGGGGAGCTGTTTGTGTCTTCCCACAGGATCAAGAAAGCCCATTCTGGCTGCCAGAGTGATTGACCCGAACAGTGAAGAGTGATCCACAACACACGGATTCGCCTGAGGACCTGGCTGCTGTTCCTCCTGCCATTTTGCAGATGGATGACAGAGTACCGATGGAGGACACTCTCAGCTTTCCCGAAGCTGTTACCAGTCAGCCATAGGATGGCGGTGTTTCCTCGATTTTTTACAACTAATGAGATTCTGGGGCCCCTCATACCGTCCTAGAGATGATTTTTAAGCTTGGCCGTAGGATTCCAGTCCTGGGTCGTGTCTTTCTTTCCCCTACTTCAAAGAATGGGTGGGGGTGGAAATGTTTTGGAACAGTCCTATGCTATGGAAGAGTGTTTCTCCTCTGGATGGTCTGCTGACTCAAATCCCAAAATCGTAGGGACAAAGTGGTTATTGCACAAGCGTTGGCTGCCCTGAAACAGGGGCCTCTACCGATGTGTGGTTATCTATGCTGAAGCAGTAAGGTTTATGCCAACCAGCTCCTGCACACCTAGGACAATGGTCCATTGCACAGGGTGGAGTGCTTGGCTTAGCTAGCCCTGAAGGCTGTCGAGCTGAAGAGCATCGCACAGAGAATGGCCCTCTCTGAGAGATATGTCGTCCTGCATAAGGGTTTCCTGTCGTATATTCCCTTTCCCAGAAAAATGGCAGAGGGCAGGCCGGATAGGTTCCAGGTGTCATGAACCTAGGGGCAGATTCCGTGCAAGCCCATTGTAATGTTTTTCGCTCTGGGAAGT